CGGACGGTCAACACATTAGCTCCCGCGATGTGCAAATCACATATGAGCAAATACTCGGTCATAAATCTGCCTGTTCTTTTTATAGTGGTCTCTACAAATTGGATTGCTGATCTAGTGTGTGTATAGCGTGTGTATTAAATACCAAGATATTGACAATTTGTGTTATAATTAAATTGTGGTAATATAATGTCAAACCGTGTGTATAGCTGTGTGTATTAAATACAGGATGTTTTGTCAATTTGCGTTATAATTAAATTGTGGAAATTTAATGTCAAAGTGTGTGTATTAAATACAGGATGTTTTGTCAATTTGTGCTATAATTAAATTGTGGAAATTTAAGGTCAAATTTAGGGTATATAGTGTGTGTATAGCGTGTGTATTAAATACAGGATGTTTTGTCAATTTGTGCTATAATTAAATTGTGGAAATTTGATGTCAAAGTGTGTGTATAGCGTGTGTATTAAATACAGGATATTGTCTCAATTTGTGTTATAATTATATTGCGGGAATTTAATGTCAAACCGTGTGTATAGCGTGTGTATTAAATACAGGATATTGTCTCAATTTGTGTTATAATTATATTGCGGGAATTTAATGTCAAACCGTGTGTATAGCGTGTGTATTAAATACAGGATATTGTCTCAATTTGTGTTATAATTATATTGCGGGAATTTAATGTCAAACCGTGTGTATTAAATACAGGATATTGTCTCAATTTGTGTTATAATTATATTGCGGGAATTTAATGTCAAACCGTGTGTATAGCGTGTGTATTAAATACAGGATATTGTCGATTTGTGTTATATTCAAATTGTGGAAATTTAATGTCAAACCGTGTGTATAGCGTGTGTATTAAATACAGGATATTGTCTCAATTTGTGTTATAATTATATTGCGGGAATTTAATGTCAAACCGTGTGTATAGCGTGTGTATTAAATACAGGATATTGTCGATTTGTGTTATATTCAAATTGTGGAAATTTAATGTCAAACCGTGTGTATAGCGTGTGTATTAAATACAGGATATTGTCTCAATTTGTGTTATAATTATATTGCGGGAATTTAATGTCAAACCGTATGTATAGCGTGTGTATTAAATACAGGATATTGTCTCAATTTGTGTTATATTCAAATTGTGGAAATTTAATGTCAAAACCGTGTGTATAGCGTGTGTATTAAATACAGGATATTGTCTCAATTTGTGTTATAATTATATTGCGGGAATTTAATGTCAAACCGTATGTATAGCGTGTGTATTAAATACAGGATATTGTCTCAATTTGTGTTATAATTATATTGCGGGAATTTAATGTCAAACCGTATGTATAGCGTGTGTATTAAATACAGGATAATGTCTCAATTTGTGTTATAATTATATTGCGGGAATTTAATGTCAAACCGTATGTATAGCGTGTGTATTAAATACAGGATATTGTCTCAATTTGTGTTATAATTATATTGCGGGAATTTAATGTCAAACCGTGTGTATATAGCGTGTGTATTAAATACAGGATGTTTTGTCAATTTGTGTTATAATCAAATTGTGGGAATTTGATGTCAAACCGTGTGTATAGCGTGTGTATTAAATACAGGATGTTTTGTCAATTTGTGCTATAATCAAATTGTGGGAATTTAATGTCAAACCGTGTGTATTAAATACAGGATATTGTCAACTTGTGTTATAATTAAATTGTGGAAATTTAATGTCAAACCGTGTGTATAGCGTGTGTATTAAATACAGGATATTGTCGATTTGTGTTATAATCAAATTGTGGAAATTTGAACGTTACAAGATACCTAATACCTTCAATCAGATCAAATATTAACTAAAGGCTGATTATTATATTTATTTCCATATATTAGTTAGAATGTCTGTGCATGGCTGAATTTATCAAAAAAGCTCTTTGTCAAAATTCAGAAATTTAAAAAACGAATATTTCATGACACATATCATGGAAAATGAGATTAATAATATAGAAAATGAAAACATTAAAACGCGAATGTTTCTTTTATAAATATATCAAACTTTCTACTGTCCTTACTGGGATCAAAATATCATATTTTTATCGCAGTAAGGATAATAGAAGTTTGAAATATGTATAAAAGAAACATTCGCGTCTAAATGTTTTCATTTTTTTTTTGTATTTAGATGGTGTGTTATTGCTTTGTGTTATTAATCTGGTAAGATACTGTAGCAAAGTATTTATTATTTTATTAACATAGTATCATTTTTTATTTTTATATTTTTCTACTCAGAGGTCCTGATTCGACGGCTGTGACCAAAGGGTACGAGGGCCAAAGGGGGGGGGGGGGGTCCTATTGGAGCGTAGGACGGATTAGACCAAGTCCGAACGGGAGGGCTAGGACAGCAACCTTGCCATGAACTCTCGGAGACGCCTTTGGGTTGACTGGTCACGTCCACGGAGCCAGACCATAATGGCGGGCGCGAGGGGCCAAACAAAGGCCGCTCGGTGCATGGAGAATGCACCATTCCTATGGCACGGTGGCTATATGGCAGCAGGGGTGCATGCTACGCATGCCGGCTTGTGGACCTTCGAGGTCTGGGTAGCCATTACTGCTCCAGGGATGTATTTTTCTACTCTGTAAACTTCCCTCATTGCTTATCTTTTGTTTATCATGCATAATTTGTTCTTTTCCTTAGATAACTTGCTGTGTCAGCCCAAAGTTTGTCTTTCCTAATTTCCCACGTGGCGAAGGCGTACAAGATGTTCCAAAAACAAAAGGTACAAGACTTCAATACTACAGCCTTGATCCTTCTTTCTGACTTACTTCTAGACTGGCACTACCTGGTCAACTGGTTCAACACAACAATCTGTTCTTCCCATGACTAGAACTTTCGGGGGTCGGTGGAAGGATGGTCTAAACTGTTGGTTTTCGACCACTACGACCCGGGTTCAAATCCCACATTGGGCACTTTTTTCTGTTTAAATAAAATGTATCAATGGCCACCGATTTTTGCAAAAGTCCAACCCCACCAGCGAGTGCAAGTAACCAAACGGGGCTCTGGCACATTTGTAAGTGCAAAGTCGAACTGCTTTTCACATGTGTAGACATGTGGTGCATTTATAGTAAAAGCAGTCGCTAACTACCCACCATGATTATCATGACTTGTACCACGTGTACTAGGGATAAGCAAAAAAAAAAAAGAAATTTCTTCTAGACTGCTGTTTAACCCGGGTAGTTGGCGATTTTCCCTCCTGTAACCCAGTTTACCTCTATTTTCTCCCTCTAACTTGTTGTTCGCTTGTTTTCTATGTGTTTGGAAGCTCTAAATGGGCACTGTAGATGTCAGAAAGCTATCTTTGAAAGAAAAACTTCCCAAAAATACTCGAGGAAGTCTTCTGTATATATAGGTAGAGCTTTATCCTTTACCTGGCCTTGATAAATCACGTATAGTCAGACCTCTATGACCTAATACTTGGTGTAGTTCCCCTATGTATCATTGATAATTTTTCAACCTTTGAATAAACATCATTTATTATTGAAGATCGCAGACTATCTTTTCGAAATTTAATTCAAAATAGATGTCGACTTTTTAGAAACAAAAAGATCTCATTATATTCACAATATTTTAAAGTTTGGTCTTGAATACTAAACTCTTGGTTTGTCAAGAAGCCTCTGGGACCATAAATATTTTGGTCGCAGTGGTACAGCTTCACGCTGACGAGCGCCAACAGCGCGAAACACGTTCGTGGAAGGCTTTTCTTGATTTATCAAGAAAATGGGTTGGCCAAATATCAGGGAACAGGTTAAATCAATATTTATTTGATTTTGTTCCACTAGATGGCGCTCTGCCATCTAAAAAGCACATGTGCTCCTGGTCGGGATATGTCTTGTTATTTTTAATATATATTTTTATTATTCAAAAAGATTCTTCAAAAGCGAATGCTTTCCAACGCCGATGGCCAATAAAAGTCATAAGAGATGCTGATCCTGTGCAATGACAAGGTTAAAGATTTTCTTTCTCGACTAATCACTCAAGGTGAAAACTGAATTAATCATTTTTGTCTAAACGAAAATTAGATAAAAAATGGTGGCATAATGGTTTCCTCTATTCCCAAAGAAGGTAAGGACTTAAGCATCAGCTGGGCAGGTCCTGCTTACAGTTCTTGAGATCAAGAAGAAGACAATAAATTGTTAATTACCTACAAAATTGTGATATTTTGTGGCCGGGTAGTTGGCGCTCTGCGCTCCAAGAACCTGGGTTATCTCTCTGGTATATTGTTGACAGAATTCAACTTGTTCAAATTTCCTTAAACACTTTCGGGACACAGTCGATGGACCAGTGGGTAACACCCTCGATTCCCGACAGCCATGAACCGGGATTGAATCCCGCGTTAACATTTTGTTTAATATGTGAATAACCTTCACATACCCATGACTACCCGTTTCATGATTTTCAGGATGCCTTAAATGACCAATATTTTTGGTCGTTGAGGTACAGCTTGCACCGCTAATGAGGGCCAACAGCTCGAAACGCGTCCGTGGTTAGCTTTTCTTGATTAATCAAGAATGGGTATTTGGCCAATTCAGGAATAATTAAAAATCAACGAGAATAGTTGATATTTATTCCGATAGATGGCGCAAGCCATCAGCAACTTTCAGTTGCACGATAAGGAGATGCCTTTTTTCATTATTATTCATTGTTGCAAATCTCATAAACTAGGTTGCTCTTGTTGAGCGGTACCTAGTAAAGTGATTTTGGAGCCGACTTTCGGGATTAAATACAATCTAAATACGATTTAAATCCTCTGGTATTAATCAAACAAATGCTAGAGGTTTCTGGAGATTACCTACGAATACCTTTTTAGTATTCGTATCACAGCTTGTTGAAGGACGTCATAGTCCGATAGCTTGCCAATATTATATAGCTTTAATAAAGAATCTCGTCAACTTTAGCTTATATTCTTCTCAGATACAAATACTGAATTGGGATGATACCGAAAATATTCATTGGCCCCTGAACAAAATCTTAAAGCGTTACAGTACTCTAGTGGACATGGCATCTGCCCGGTAAGCGGAACATTGTGGGTTCGATTCCCATCCCTGGACACTTTTATTTTCCGTTCATCATTATTCTTCATAATTCACCCTTTCATACCTCATCCAAAAAGGTTAGAAATAGTCAATATTTCACCTTGAAAAAATATTTTGAGTTTTCATTGAAAAGAAACTCATGCGGTGTAACTTCAAGTGTTGTTTTACAGTATTCTAGTGTGCCAAAGTAACACTGGATAGGTTAAATATCTTGGAAGCTTATTCGGTAAAACTACAAATGCTTATTCTTTATTTGTATAGTTTCATTCGAAAGCATGTTTGGTTCCAACTTATTCCTGTGGACTATTTGTTAGTAGAAGGAAGGTAGGCGCCAGTTCAAATATGATGCACTAGCGCGCCATCTGTTATCAAAATTCAAAACTATTTTAAAGGCGTAAGATTCTTTTTGGTATTAAACAATTATCAATCTACTGCCCTTACTGCAAAAGGAAGTTCCAAAAATGCAATATAACAGCGGTATGGTAGATTAAACTGGCGAAACCGCTGAGAGGGTTCACCACTGATGAGCCAGGCCCTCTCATTAATTTTTCCATTGCAGTAAGGGCAGTAGAAATTGTTTAATATAAAAAAGAATCTTGCGCCTTTAAAATAGTTTTGAATTTTGATGTTCAAATATGTTAAATAAACAAGCAATGATTGATTTTAGAAATATTTAATTCGGAGAATAGGAATTGAGAACAAGGATTATTAGGTACAACAAACAAAGGTAAAAACAAAGAGCGGTTTTTCTAGGTAGACTGCAGCTCCTCCTCGTGGTGGCGTCCGGAACTAGTTGGTGTTGGCATGAAGTTGTCGAGCTTTCTTTCACCCTTAAAACACACATTTTAACATAATTTCAACTTTAATAATATACATTGAGAGTCTATACATATAATGATATCTTTTATTGAAGTACAAAATTGTAAAAAAAAAACAAACATATTTTGAAATCATAAAATCATATTTAAAAAAATGTTTTTAATATTTGATGCTTATCAGATATGTTCAACGCAATTTTCTTTTGCTACGAATAAGTGTGTGATACACTGAAATAAAGTATATTTGAACAAAATATCTAAAGGATTATCAAATTTAAAAAAAGATCCTCATCAGAAGAATCCATCTGCAGGGATGTCAGGAATTCATCAGCTGTCACAAGCCGCCTTGGAGTCGGACAGCCTCCCACATATAGATTGTAGTTCTTCTCCCCGACTTGCGCTATTGCAATGTCGAAAAATTTACTCCAAAGAGACTCCTACCTAGATGTGAGAGCAGAGAGTGGAATTTCTCCCTTTTATAGCGCGATAAAACCTGGCTTACTATAGCTTCCTTATAAAGATTCTCATATAGGGAGTCTATAGCGTGTTGTTGCTGGAGACCCACTGGCGATTATCCGCCAAACTCTGCAGCGCTGGCAGAGGCGCCATGTTCTTTGTACATAGTATGATGCATATATATATGTTATATAAGGGTACTATTTGAAATGTTATATATTAAAATGTTATTTTATTTAAAATTATATTTCATCGATTCAAATACTCTGTTAAATCGACCGCCAGAGGTCACGCTTTCTCTATAAATACTCATTGTTGTTCTTCCCCGTTGGTTCGGCTCAAACATGTTTGTAATTATGTAAATAGTATTTTGTTTTAATTATTCTTACGCCTTACGCCAGGCGGTACTTTTACAAAATTATGTTTATCTTATAGCTCAATTAAAGCAATCTTTTATCAAAACAATTTTTATTCTTTCAATATTTATGCCACGACTGCTCAACAAATAGCTCATATTTTTAATATAATATATATATATATGTGAAATAGCTCCTCTATTTGTTCCTTAGTGGTCTGGGTAGGGTGTTTATTCTGGGTCTTCGATCCAGCCATAGAGTTCTAAGAGAAGCCGTCTGGTGGATTAAATAGGCGAAACTGCTGAAAGGTTTACAACTGAAGAACCAAGCCCTCATTGTTTTTTCACCTCAGTAAGGACAGAATAAGGTTCATTTTAATCTAAAAGGAAATGTTGGTGCTCAATAATTTCATTTCTTATGTACATATGTGTTTAAAATATGAGCAATCCATATATTCAATTATTTAAAAATGCTTATTTTATATCATATATTTTATTTTCCAATATTTCGTATGGAAATACGCCAAACTTCTTCGGGGAACAGGATTGTTTTGAGATGCTCGCGTATCAATTCGCAAGCCTATAAAACTGCTGTAAAATTTAAAATATCTAAAACCTAGAATATGCATGTTTAAAATAATATATATTTATAAAATAAAACAATATATAAAACAATATAAATATGGCACGTTATTTCCTTATTATTAATTTATGCATAACTACCCTTGTCTTTGTCGTTTTCAGAAGAGCATTGCTCGACGCAAATATTTATCTAGAATTCTGCTATCTCTAAAAATAAGTTCATGTTTATAGTTTGCTTAAATATTACAACAAAGATTCCACACTTCACTGTCGCATTTTTAAGCAAAACCGTTCGATACAATATTATTATTTTTTATATATTTATTTTTGTTTTATTATTTTTCATTATGAATATTGAATATTATGAATATATTATTATAATTTATTTGAAAGATCATAGTCTTTTGTGAGTTAAATATTTGTTTTTTGACTCTGCTTTAGATGTTGTACAAAATTTCGAATATCGCGTGAGAACGCCCTGGCAGCCTTAGAATAATTTCTAACGCTTTGCCTAATGTTTTAATTTTTGTTTTCTCCTGACCAGGACAAAAGATTTTTATCGAAACGTCGAGATAATAAAAAGATTTACTGGCCGAAGTGTCTTTTATTCGAAGAAATATTAGAACTCTAAGAAGCGGTCAGGTGGAAAAAATAGGCGAAACCGCTGGGAGGGTTCACCACTGAAGAACCAAGCCCTTCCTTTATTATTTCATCGCAGTAAGTAAAGTATAAAGTTCTATTATTTGCATAATATTTTGTGCTTAATACTTTCATTTTCGAGATATAATGATTGTTTGGAAAATAGAGAGAAAAAGAGAGAAGTGTAACACAAAGCGCGCGCTTATTTCGTAGAAAAAGATCTATAAAGCAAATGCAATATTTTATACCAACTTCTCCTTTTTTATAGCTCTTCTAAATTTTGTGAATAGGGCAGAAGATACATTAGTAGAATATATAGGGTTTCAATGTGGAACAGAATAATTTTATCTTTGAAAAAAAAAAATTGTAAACATCTTCCTTATCGAAGAGAATTGCGTATTTAATCTCTATTTATGAAAATTTCAAAATGAACATACAATAGTTTCAGAAATATAACAAATACTTCTTCTCTGTATAGTAACACCTCTGTAATGATTGTTGATATGAACATGGGCGTTTTAAATTTGATAATTAGACATTGTGTGTATGTGTGTGATTTCGATATTTTTTTATTTAAAAGACAAAACTTATTTGAAAGGTATTCACAAGTTCATTGAGATTAAGAAAGTGTAATTACATTAAGAAACAATTTTGTCAGTTGAAAAACAGTTTTTAAGAGAAAGGCATCTTTTCATCGTGCATTCAAAAGTTGCAACTTTAGTTGCACAATTTGGAGATGTCTTTATTTTAATTTATCGTCCTGATTTCAGTACAAATTTACTTTTTATGTGAAAAATAGACACTTCGACCAAAAAACCTCAATCTTATTTACCAGTTGCAAACAAGACACGCTATATCCGATCTGGATAATTGCGCGTGAAACTATTTACAATAATTGTAGTAGAGTAGGTAACAGAATTATCAAAAAGAAAATAAACAACTAAGAAAAATAGCATTGAATAAACATATACATTAAACAAATAAATACATTAAACAAATAATATCTTCAGGATAGAGGATAGATCTTCAGGTACTTTTATACTATATTTTCAAAATACAAGTTTTGGCCAAGTTTTCTTTTTATTATCCCAGTACACGTGGTATAGGCCATTATAATCATTGTGGGTAGAAGTTGGTGACTGCTTTTATTGTAAGTGCACCACATGTCTACACATGTGAAAATCACTTCGACTTTTGCATATACAAAAATGAAAGAGCCCCGTTTAGTTAACTGAACTCGCTGGTGGGGTTGAAATTTTGCAAGAATCGGGGTCCATTAGAGCATTTTTTTTATTATAAAAAAGTACCAATGCGGGATTTGATCCCGGGTCATAGCGGTAGGAAACAAACGGTTTAGATCATCCTTCCACCGACCTTCTGTATTAATAATTGTATTTATAATGGCTGTGCTTTCTTATTTACCGTATACTCAACAACAAGCATGATTTTAAAATATTATTTAAAAGTCGTGTTTTCACTAATGTTGTCTCTCATAGACTCAAGAACTTTGATAAATTATGTAAATTGAGTGCCAACATATATAGAAATATTTCATACAGGTTTTGTAGGCATTATATATTGTACCTCAAAAGTGACATTAGTATAGAAAATATATATGGACTAAACGGGTGACCCGGGCTTCGCCCCGGGATTGACCCGTGTGCATATCTACCCGAGTGATATATATTTAGATAAGATTTTTTTATAATTGTTTGTTATTAGCATTATCTATTTGTTTGCATCAGCATAATTTTATCTAATCTTTGATAGAGGGCGCTGTTCGTGAGTTAGGTAGAATAATTTGAATATATAGTTTTAATAATTGATTTATATATTTTTTAAAATAGCCTATCGTCTTCCCCGTATTTCTTTACCTATGTATGGAAGTTTTACCCAAGGTGGTTGTACTTATTACAGTTGTACGTGAATAGTACTTACATATGTACATAAGTATGTGTATATATATACACCTTAATAGTACAAAAGCTACATACCTATACTTTCGATATTTGCGGACCTATAATGAGGTATTGTTAACAATAGTTTATTTAAGGAGCGACCCGCTCCAACACAATAGTTACAAAAACCAAAAAGCGAGTGAGGGGGGGCAATATATATCGAATATAAATATATAGATTAGAAAAAAATAGTCTTTATAATAATGTCTT